CACAACAATAGAAGTAGTGGTCTATGCATACATATATATATATATATATATATATATATATATATCATTATTTTCATGAACAACAACTGTTATGGTGTGAACCAGATTAAGTAAGTGAATTAAAATTATTATAAAGGTTACTTACAAATCAGATAATAATATTTTCTGATTCTCACACAAGATCTAGGATAAAACAAAATTGCACAGCAAATTTTTTCTGGTTTTGAAAGAATACATTTAAAATTCTTACCATCTGTGTCTTCTCTGTCTATTACTTCTATTTTTCTAAGCAAATAACGTTCTTTAAGACGGAACTCTCCAACAGGCCCTGTCACACTAGTTCGTTTGTTATTAGGCTTACATAAAACCATTAAACCATCAAAAAGGAACACATGACGCTCAGTCAACCTTTTCCCTGAGCCCACTTTCCCAAGCACACCCTCTAAAGAAAAAATAACAAATCAAAATTACAAGGGATCCATTCTTATGAAAGAAACAATGTATTTAATAGAAACTGCAGATCAAATTTGTTGCACAAAAAGATAATTCAGGAAAATTCTATAACAAATAATATAGTTAGTACTTATCACAAGATGATAATGGAAACATAACAAGTTCTAACTATATTTTAACAAGAAATAAGTTTATTTTATATTGTACACAGATAAAAAAAAAAATCAAATGATCACAATTCTAACAAATCAACCATGATGATAAAACTAATCTTTAAAGCTAGGAACAAGTCCATAACACTGTATAGAAAATTAAGTGCTATTATACTGGGTTTTCAACACTGAGAAACTTTACAAAATACATGGCTCGATACGTATGTGTGGTGTTATATACCAATTTTAGCTGACCTAAGGAAGAAGTCACTCCCTTTACAAAAACTAAACCTCATTACACATTTTTTATAATTCTAATACTGATTTCACAAATGCATCGACATTCTATTTTCAACAAATTAAATTTTGAAACTGTTATTTCTTTTATTTTTCTAACCATGCACGTGTACATTATTTACCTCTCTCTCTCTCATACAAGTATAAACTATGTTTAGCAAAAACATAAATTTTCTAACAACCAAGGTATAAAATAATTAATTTTTGATTACCATCAAACATTTCCATTTATTTTGATATAAGATACACCACAATATATTATTTTATTAATTATTTATGACTTAGTTTAATGTAATAGGCAGCAAATGTAATATGATAAAAACTTTGCATCTTACTTTACACCCATCCCTTAATATATGGAATAGATGCATTCTTCAAAAGTTATCCAGATTGAGAAATTCCATAGAGCAACACCCGTTTCCCATAGACTACCATTATATAATTGGAAATATGTTCCTACTGGAAAAATTTTGGCCCCAAGACATAATAAAAACATACTTAAGAATGAAGAAAACCTATTTTAAACACATATTTAGTATAAAATCAATAATGTTATGATAAAGTATTAATATTACTAACAACAAGACATAAGAATAAAAATAACGATACTTAATAATTTTTCCACAGTTACCAGAGACTGTGATTATTGATACACGACATAGTTTTGCAGGGAGATGTGGGGGAGCTATTGGGAGGTAGAAGGAGGGGCAGTACATCTACAAACATTAACCACGAAGGCGAGGTGGTAAGATTAACATGAGGGAATCCTCAATAGCCTTAAATCAGTCAAGAAATGGAGCTATAAGCTAAAAGTTTTTACTTGAAAAAAACCCAACTCAGAAGCATTCTATGAGCCACTATGCCACAGCTAAAAATCTAATCACATAAAGCAATAACAATAAAATTTTACAGCAAAAAATCTTACCATGAATCATTAGTAAAATGTAAAACTTATAAGTTAGAGATTCAAAATTCAATAAAAATTACTTTTAGCCTTCCTTATAATGAATTGGTTCCCTAATTTATAAGTTCTGTTATCACAGATTTGTGCAAAATGAGTTTCAAATAGCAAAGGTATGTTTTACTATTAGTGATATATTCTCACACCTGTACATTGTTATAGTCTTGCTGGTAGGGATGATGAATCTGGAGTGCAGGTTGTAAGGTAACTAATGTATTATTAAATTCTAATAAAAAAATTGATGTAAAAAAACCTAAAAGCTTTATTACAAAAACTCTGAATAAATTATTATATAATCATATAAATACTATTCTACAAAATAGTTATAAGTACCAGATTAAGGATTACATTTACACATTAAAACAACAATACCAACAAAGAAAGTTGTATTTTATAAAATTAAAACAACATTAATACATTAAAACAAATACATTAAAACAACAATAACAACAAAGAAAGTTGTATTTTATAAAATTAACTTAAAAATGTATGGTTGTGAAACACTGTCAACCAACTGAAGTACAATGGGGGCTATTATGATCTGATGTAATACTGCAAGTTTATCATTTATTATTCTATAGTATATTAACCTATTTTAATAAATGCAGAATCTTGCCGTAGAACATTAATGATCACTCATTCCATAAAAAAAAGCTATAACTTTTATTTATTGTCAGTTCATTTGGTAGGTAAACAGCAAATCAGAAATGATCTTAAACTTTATTTACGTAGAACTGTCACGAGCTGACACAAGCTATACATAGTGAAAGCAAGGTAAGAAAACAGTTAAAAACTCTACATTAGAAGTATAAGCATCTTCCATAATTTCACTTGGAAGTTTGTTTGGCAAGCATTTGAATACAAATTCTCTCAAATAAGGTCTATTCATCTTACATAATGTGCTTGACAAAACTGTTATTTCACCTGGAGGTTTTGTGGTGAGCATTAAAATACAAATTCTCTCAAAGTAATTGAGATCTTATGCTAAAGAAATGTGAAGTCCCCAAATACTTTTGCTGAATTTCTTGCAGAGTTACATGATGGCTATCTATATGGAAAGCAACTAGTCAACACCTCCCACCACCAACTCAAGATGGGGAGGGATTGGGTAAAGAACCACAGGTCTTCAGCTCCATAGTCTGGCACATTAACTACTCTTGGAATACAAGTTGCTTTTCATGTCTCAGTGTCACAAACTGTTTATACAACATGTACAAATAAACCATTTAATTTGAGTGAGTTGTGAACAACATAAAGCATCAGAGTAACTGAAGAGGGATGAAATTCCCCAAAACCCACAGAACTCAGTGACAAGTGGAATGTCAAATGATATGATAGATTTCATATTTATTTATAGTATGTTAAACAGCTTGTGTGTTGAATAATTTTGAAGATTAAAACAGTGCTATATACCCTTCCAATCCTATATAAATATAGCTTCACTATGGTGAGTAAAGAACAACTCAAAACATCATATATCTTACTGTAAAGATGATTCATTATGTGTGTGTGTGTATGTTACCATCCATTACCCATAGTTGGCAAGCTTGATTATCATAATTTTTGGTGTGGCAACTGGAAACTGTTTGACGGTGTACATGGGCTATTTTGTTTTAGGATTTTTGTTCTAGAAGAGTGGTAGAAAAAAGCCTTGAAATAGGACATATTTCCACTTTTTATAGACTTTTGGCTGGCCCATTTGCCATAATATTTTACCATATCTTCAATTGTTACGTATGGCTACAAAAAATAACCTGCCTGACAACATACATGGGCTATTTTGTTTTACAATTTTTATCTGAGAAGGAAGATAAAAACACCCTGAAATAGGGCACATTTCCACTGTTTTATAGACTTTTGGATTTGAATTTTAAAAACACAAGTACTTGATCAGTTAAACGAGTTAATTACTAACTCCCATAAGGCGGGGTATGCAATTAGCATCTAATGAGATGATTAGGTATTTAATAAGAAAAGAAAGAACTGGGAACATTATCTAACATTGTCCTTTATATATAGCTAGTAGTAATATGTAGAAAATCTGAACTTCACTTTTCTTTAAAGACAAGAGCTGATAATTACTTTTGTTAGGCAAGCAAGAATAACAATGGAAGGGTTTAATTTGGTGAGTGCAGTCTCTATTTTAAGGAAAACAAAAGGTTTTAGAATAGTAGCTACATTATAATTTCGAATTTTTATCATTGCAAATGGGCATTCAGTTTCCAATAAGTCATGACTGTGTATGAATTATACAGAACATAACACTAATAATACAGACTAGTTCATCACAATAAAAAGATAGGTTCCTAATTATCTATAACATCTTAACCTCTTGCAAGTTGAAAAATTAGATTTCTTAACATTTTGATCTTATTTCATAATTTAAATTACACATTTATAGTAAGTTATCAAAGAACAGTTAGTGTTCATCAATTAAGCATTAACACTAAATACGCCAGCACTATTGTGTTTACATAATAATACTTAATAGCAGACAGCATATTCAGTTTTTTTTACTGATGAACAACCATTATCTTGTGCCCTGTCCTGTTCAGGAAATACATTCTTCATTCAAAACATTCTTTAGTTAGTAATCTGGTGTCTGGATCATTAAAAGATTCAAAAGTTTCCGATCCACACGCTTTTTGTTGCATTTGATAGAAGTGAATGAAACAGTTCATATTAAACTTCATGGTAAATGTACACAAAATTACATCACTGTAATTTTTTATGGTATATATGAAATTTTTTTGGCAATTAGACAACCTATACAGTTCATGGACTTAACAAAATATTCAGAGACAAATGAACCAGATTTTCAGTTTAATGTATTTTTAGTATGTTTTCATTTTAATAGCCAATGGACATAAAAGTAACAAATGTATGTGCTGTTTCTACTGGTAACATGGCAAACCATTTTCTTATATAAAATTTGCTAAAACATTAAAGTTAACAAAAATAAATATTTGCTTAGTTCTATTTAACTTTTCAAGATAAAAACAACTATTAGAATTAAACATGTACCATAGCTGCGATTGACTACCTAGAAGTCACACTAGATCTCTTCATTTTCACTTGTTCTCCCTTTATCAATTTCCTAATCATTAGTTCAAGTTTTGGAATGACACACTGCTACACTACTGGATAAATATTATTTCATTAAGATGAAAAATACTGGCCTGACATAACTCTTTAGAAAACCAGTAAAAAAACATTTTTGTGCTTACCCATAATAAATTCGTTGCAACACTGACCAATATCTTTTCCCTCCCAACCATCTATACTTTTCTGAAGTTCATTCATCTTCTGAAGAGCAGCCTGACGGCTCATCCTACCATTTATTCGGAAGAAGGATTCCCTAAAAGGGGAAGAGCTTTAATTAAGCTATAACATTTGTTTAAAATTAGAATAAAATAATCTAACAGTAACAGAGTAACTAGTCATGAATATCTAGTTTTCAACATGGATGACTATGGTAACCACCTAATACTATTTTAAACTGAAAGACTGGTAAAAACAAAAAGGATCAATAATAAGTACAAATTCATCATTCTTATATAATGAGGTTCAGGCAGTGTATTCACGATGAAGTAAATGAAGGTGAAATGGACAACAACTGTCCAGATCAGAAAAGTTGATGATGTTCCAAAAGTTTGTCCAAAATTCACCTGAAAAGGAAAGCCAGAAGCACTAACATTTTCACTGTAGAAAGGGGCTATAGTAGTATATTTTGCTGTATTATGTATTCTGATATATAAGACACACATACATTGCATATCTTGATGTTATAGTGTCAATAATTTACCTGAATTATGGTAAAAACAAAGAGAAGATATGACAATCAGCTGATATCCCTGTAAGTGGGTGCCTCATGTCGTCTTTAGGCTGGGGCTCAAGCTGAGGGAGTGTTTATACTGGTGTTTCCTGCTCATGCTCCCGGATGTCAGCACACCCGATGTCTAGCAGTCGATTCAAACTCATGGAGAGTTGCTGCTTCCACTGTAAAAGGAAAAATATTTTGATGGCTGTGGAGAAAAATCAGTTTCTGCTGTCAATGACAACCAATCTTCTGTTCGCTTAGTTATGATGTCTTTTAATGGAGAAATGGCATTGATTGGGGACTGACCATGAATATAATTATGCAGTGAAAGGGTTAAAAATGCTACATTTTCTCATATAGGTAGTTTTTCCCTATTTTACTTTCATTTACTTCAACAAATTCATTATACTGAGAGACCATTGTTAACAAAAATAAAAAATTTTCAAAAAAGTCTTTTTCTCAAGAAAAATGGTTTTATGAGTACATTTTATCAGGTTGAATGGTATAATAATGCTCAGAAAGTATTGCAGCTTTCCTATCTTGCCCATTACAACTATGCTACAAAAAATGTTTTTACACGCCAACACAAAATTGTATGTGCATGGGGGGGGGCAGTTTTACCTGATGTATCTTAGTTACACACCTAACATTATCACATTTTTTTAATGTTATTCTTTTACATTATAATATGTTTTAAAATGCTATTTCGAGGTTTTTAGGTATTTCTAAAAATACTTATTTTATTCTGTTCTTTTTACATTCTTGGAAACAAATTCTTCAGTATCATTAATACCCTGCTTTCTTTTTAGGTAATGTACTGCCAAATATTCTCTCTAGTTCCACTTTAAGAGGCTGCAACAAACCCTCAGCTTGTTGAAGACTTTCTCTGTCTTCATCTAAAGGAGTTAACTTCTTCAGAACCTGTTAAAAAAAAAAAAATTACATTTATATACAAATTTCTGTTAAACATATGTTCATAGAGTTACATGGTTTATACTATGTTTCTGTTTTCTAAAATCATGAAGCTTGCTAAAATATTATACAAATGAGTAGATATTACTTTCCCAGATGCTTTATCATTGTCCCTCATATGACTTTAAAAAAAAAAAAAACAATTATGTTTCTTGTGCTCTATATGGACTTTCTTTGTCAAGTTAAGACTCTTCCTGCCCTCTCACTCAATTAATTTTCCTGAAATGTAATAAACAGCAGCAGCTTTACTGCATAATCTAGTTTGTACAAATATGTAGAACCCTTTTAACGCTGTTGAACCAAATGTCAATTTAGTATTGTGTTATACAGATACCATGCATACACACTTTCCTACAACATATATTTAATATAGTGAATACAATTTTACAAGTTTTTCTAGAGTTCTAGTTTAGATTTTAAAAATTCTAATTAGATCATATGCTAACTGAATCATAAATGTTCCTTATCATGGCATGAATTGGCTAAGGATAATATCTATTGTTTCATGAGATAGTTGTATTGTACCTAACACCACCTTTTGTGTGAGGTTGTCAAGTGGAGAAGAAATATGTCCACACTTTAGTGATTAATTTTTTTTTATTGGTCAGCTACAAAGAGACAAGGTGCACGACTGTAAGAGCAATTATGGGATATTAATTTTCTCTTTGACCCACTGTAAAGAGCTGTGCTTTCAGGCAGGCTTTTTTTTTATTTATGTGCTGACTGTATATTGTTATACATCGGACTCACTTTTTCTTTCAGAGTTATTTGTTTTATTTGCATTCACTTTATCAGTTTTATTTTCTTTAACTTTTCAATTTCAACTTGCTATGTGTAAAATAAACAGTACTTGATTTTATTGAAACTTGTTTATTTCTTCTATTCTTCATTTACTCTAGAATTCCATCCAGTCAAATCTTCAAACATCTTTTTATGTGAGGGGTGGTTTACCTGTGTATTATTATTCAAATATATTGTTATGTGGGGGTGGTTTACCTGTATACCATTATTCTTCTAAGACAGAAACATGATAGTAGCAAGTGAAGATGCTCCATACAGTTTAGAAAAGTAAAAGTCATGTTCATTGTACTTCATGTAAGATTCACTCGGGATGGAATGCTAAGTGGTAATTGACAGATGTTTTATTAGTTTATAACTTTTGGAATTACACTAAGAAGTAACTTTTAATGAACTATAGGAGAAACAACAGTTGCCTCTCAATATATAAAAATATTGCCTGCAAGAACTTGCTCTGTCATTGTACAAATGTATAAAAGTATATTATACAAGTAGTAAATAGTTATCTCTGACAATGGCTATAATCAATATAACATGGAAATGAATATTATAACTACATTTTTTTCCCTAATACAAATTATTTTAAACTCAAAATCTTTTGGGGGTTTCACAACTTCAACCCCTTTAACACCATCCAGAGCCTTAGGTCTTTTAAGGTTGTATCAAGTAGAGACTCAAACTTTACAAGTTTTTTTAAATAAAATCTTAGTTTATGCCAGGGTAACCTAAGCTAATAAATATTTTGCAATTTAATAATTCTGTACATTCTTTACTACTAAAAGTTCTTAATGACAGAGTAGAAAAACTTTTAAATTCTACAACAACATGAGCAATTAATAAACAGACTGAAATATATTATGCTCATGATATTGACCTAGCGTTCTTACATTACAAATAGAAATACATGCATAGTCTAACTTTCATTACAACATTCTAAAAATGAATAAACAAAGGAATATTTCCTATCATAACAATGATGGTAAGCTTGTTATTTCTTTAAAGGCAGACATCGATATATATTACAACAATATACATATTCTGGTTACTCAATACAGCTTTTTCCAGGTATATTTTAATGTAAATACACACTGAGTCTGAGTACTGAACATAAAAGAACAATTTTAAACTGTGTATCCCTAAATAAAGATGTATAAATACCTTTAGAGCCAAGTCTATATATGATTTACTACTAATTCAGGGGCATTAGTAATCTACTAGCTCAACACCTAGGACTACCAAATTTTGAGTTTGAGCTACCATGAATTCAATACAAACTTAGCCTGGTTCCACTTGCACGAAATGTAAAATTCAACTCTTAAATTTAATTAGCAAACTTACAACAAATTCTAACCTTTACTTTTTTAAATTGTTAAATATCTACTGTCACTGAAGTGCTTTTAAAATAAGTAGCCTATTTATCAACAACAGGCTAAACCATCGTAAGCCTGATTACAAACACGTGTGACTCCCTTTTCAACTTGTAAGTTAAAAGCATATTTATAACACTTTCTAAGCTATGTGATCATGTTTTGCTTGGATTAGAATAGTTATTTTTTAATGTAAAGTTTTATTGATATGATATAAAACAGCTGTATTTGGGCAAAGTCAGAGGTAGCTGGTGACCTTTTTGACAAGTGAAGCATACTGTACATGGCTACATTTTCAACCATCTAAAATCAATGTACACAACATCCCACAGCTTCTTGTCTCTACAGAGCCTGTTTCTCACTTCCCCGGACAGTCAATAGCTTGCCAAACCAACTTTACTGTTGACATGGCAGTGGATTGTTTTGACATGATCAGTTTTCTTTGTTTGGACACACTACTGTTTCCTTATGCAGATACATTAAGTCATGTTTGAATGAAGTTTAAGTAATTTATGTTTTAATTACACTCGCATACATAATTTCAACAAAACATATTTAATGACCAAAAAAAACTTTTAAGTGCTTAGAGACTTGGGCATGAAAATTCTACTTGAGGCAGTGCCTCATCGACAAGTCACCACTGGGGAAAATGATTCCGACTGCCCACTCTGAGCTCCTTGGTTTTTCCTATGTCAAACTGCCACATGGTTGTTTTGACTTTGTTATGCATGTACAATGGTTAACCTGCCCGAAGACGATATAACATGTGCTTCACCTAAGCTGTATTATTTTTTAGTTTTGTAATACCATGAAAGAAGTCATTACAATGGAAATACTATGTATGTATATAGTTGAATAAATGTAATAATGTATTCATTATCATGAAAAATAAAGTTGGATTAGTATATTTCTCATGCCTAATAGACTGACTAGTATATCAAACACATTTTACACCCCTGTAATTAATATTAGTTTATATCTATTCTTTTCATCAAGGGGCAGATGTTACCAGAATTACCTTGATTGAGTCAAAGTAGTGGAAACAATGAAGTATTGGACCAAAGAGTAGCTGTGGCAGAACATACTTTACAGCCAAGATAAATCCATGTCCTGCAGTCTGCATGAGGAAGCAAAAATAAAAAAAATTACTTTTACAATTTACAAAAGTAACTTCATTTTTTGAAACACTAATACACAAAGTATCATAAATTCCAAATATTAAATTATGAAGTTTAATATCTAGCACAAAATACTTTATATGAATCTCACTTTACTCCTGAACACTCAACCTCAGACAAAACTGCCAAGATGAGTAATTAGATACAAAAAAATAATCAACAGTTACACACACCTTAGTTTAACCCAAAACAACAATCACTGCATATTAAGGGAATTATTTTTACCAGTTTCTCTACAGAAAATATTACCATAAGACCTAGCACCATGTTGCCATAACACTTTTGACAAAATTACCACAGTAGAGCAATATTAAAGTTATCCAAAAACCTAAATTGAATTAACATCAGGTGTTACTTCAGCAACAGCACAATATCAAATAACCCAGCTACTCCACAGTTAAGATTGTAAATACTATTACAAAAAATTAGATGTTTCTCACTGAACAATGAAAATTAAAACCTCATTCAAACTTCACACAGGTCTTACTTTAGCAACAACACAATACCAAATAAACCAGCTACTCCACAGTTAAGATTGTAAATACTATTACAGAACATTACAAACTTACATGATTATAACTAAACAAGTTTATATAAATTATAAGACCTCAGTTTTACACTCTTACAAAACAAATAATGTGTGTTCTAGTAGTAACAATTTAAAATTTCCATTTCCTTGTTATACTGCATTTAACTTAAAAATATCATTATTTAAAATTAATTATTAAAAATGTAATTGACCATAATGATTTTTTTTTCCTAACTGCTGATTTAATTAATCAGCATTCTAAAACCCCTTATTTTTGTATGCTGTTAAAAGTACAGCAAACAAATAATCCACATAATCCTACTATATCTTATCTCTCTGTATATGGGAAAATATTACCTTTATAGGGTATTGTACCTTTGTTTTAAATTGATTTTTTGAGCCTACGTGTTTTTCTAACATCATGAAACAAAACTTCATATTAGACTGAAAGTCAAGTATGTGAAGTTGTTATGGTGATGTTGAGGAATGAAATGTTGCTACTGAAAACATTTCTGGATGAACATTTAGTAGAAATGTGATATCTTGTACAAGCTCAGCATCACTTGGTGTAATACCAAGGATATTATCTGTGAATCTCGTACATTCAGTAAGGGTTGGTCTCCATCAGAAAACTAATGTCTGCTCTGTTTCCCATAGCAACCTATAGTTTTGAAATAGTAAAGACCATTAAACTTAAAATCTAAAATATATTAGTCAAATTTTAAGAATCTATTTACTATTGGGTGTTGTATTTCACATTTGTTAAGAAAATGTTTTTAATGTTAACATATGATCCTTGTGAGTGACCATTATGAAGATATGGTGGCCTTTTGATTGAAGTCTGATATTATTTAAAGTATTGCCTGAGCACTTTCAAAAGGTTAACCTTTATTCTTCAGTTTGCCCCTGCAGAAGAAAGTTCCACCTTTGAAAGAGCTCAGGTTGTAGTATCTTCGTATGAAGTTTTGTTTGCAAGTTAAATCGGAACCTCTTAAAAAGCAAAAACAAAAAAACACTTCAGTCTAATATTAAACAAATGACAACCAATAATTTTGTTACATTACAACTTTGTTTTTATCGTGAAAACAAAAAATGTAATTCTTAAATATCAGTTTCAGAAGACTATTTCTAATGACACTACCCAGAAAACTGCAGCAGATTACATGTCTAATTACTACGATAGTAATGGTTGCCCTAAAAGTTTTGTATTCAAAGACTAATAGGTTCTATTTGCACTTCCCATAAATATGGCTTCCAGATCAGACAAACAATGGCCATGTTTCACATGACTTTACTAATGAGCTTCCATCTCCTTAATATTTGTATACATTACATATTTTTCAAAACATTTCGTATTCTTCTTAAAAACCATGCTACGTTACTTTTCTTACTATACCTCCATTCTATAGCATCATCATCATCATAGACAGCAGTACATCGATAATTCTACCGATGCTTACCGATCATGAATTATTATTACAAGAAAATGGGGACAAAAGTGGGATCTAACACGCCATGAATACGGAGCGTTTTTGGAAGAGTTCATGATTGTGTGTGGGCTGGGATACTGCCAGGTCGCCCAGGCCTAGACAGGCATTCTATAGCAAACATTAATGCAATGTAAAACTTATCTTAATACAATCCAAATTAGAAACAGAGGAAGAAACCAACATGGAAAAACCATTGTAAAAGCTGTGAACAATATGAGTTGTGTAACTTTCAATTCAATTAATACAAGAATCTCTAAAACTGGTTGTACATAAACGTGTTACTTACACCATGAAATTTCTTGCATATCTACTGTATGTATATTATAAGCGAGCAGAATTTCAGTCAAACTAAACACAAAATACAAACCAGGACACTAGCACTAATGGACACTCCTTAACTGTCAGTATTTGCACCCATTCAAAAGAATAAAAAAAGGAAAGGATTGAAAAAGTTAATCTCAGGCTGGAAACTAAACAACCCTTTAAAATTGATGAAAGTTGAAACTTTCCTTTCTGTGATCCAATCATTTCTCTGGGTTTAAAGAATTTCCCTTTTTCACTTTCATGTTCTAAGTATACAATTTAATTGAATTTATGAATAAGCTTCGCATGTTTTATATATTTTCATTAGATTACTAAGCATTATTCACTTTCTTAATACATAAAAAAAATGATTTTCATGACTTATTTGTATATATATAAGAACACTGCATTTAAATGTTCTTAGACCAATCAACTGTGTTTGTATGAACTCATAACCCATTAATGTGGTGAACCATTAATGTTTCAAAAATTTGTTTTACCTCACACTTTGTTAAATAGTCTGTTTGATGTCATGTCATTTGTCCATGTATTCTTTGAAATTTACCTGTTGTTAAACTGTTAGAATTTGTTGAACCTGATGAACAGCAGTTGCTCAAAAATTTCCTTAAGTAAACCTATTTTTTCTTTTTATTTATTACTGCATCATAATATTTTTTGTGAAAGTATGCCCTAGATTTAAATGTTAATATATTAGTTCTATTGAGTATCAGCACACATCTATACCCCTTACACACAATGGATAATACAGTGGTATTTGGCTAATAACTAATTTGGGAAAATATTTTTATTGTGTTATTAATGAAACATTTTATTTTTGTGAATTAGATAAGCCTTTTTTTATGAATTTTCACTGATCAATATACTCCAATAAATACATATAACTAACTAATATTACTCCTGACTTGGATACGTGTGTATTTATTTACAGCATTGAGTAGAAAAGATGTATAAAAATAATGAAAAAATGTTAACATACACGTCTATAACAAAAACTTTTTTTATTATTACTTTCAACATTTCGGAAAGAACACTTCATCAGCAGTATAAACCATGTTACATGGAGATAAGGCTTAGACAAAAATCATTGTAAAACAGTTTATACTGTCTGATGAAGTGTTCTGTCTGAAATGTTGCATGAAATAATAAAACAAAAGTTTTTGTTATAGACATGTGGTTTAACATTTCTTCATTTATAACACTGAAATACACACAATGCACTATATACCAAAACTGGCATTACTACTTACATGTAAGCAAGGAACAACATCAGGACACTGTAGAAGAGACATTAATGTTTCTTTACTTCGAGATGACCAAATTTCTCTTGCATATTTCTCATAAGCATCAAATTCTGCATCCTAAAATAATCAATTTTTAAATAACATAAAACTATTAATGTAGTTATTACCTTTTTCAAAACAAATATAAAGTAACAGATATAAAACACTATTAAACTTTCTCTAACAGGAAGATATTTTTGTGAATTTTACATGCTCAAACCTAAAACTAAGAAAAAATTATGAACACTGCTGCAGAATGATAATAATGAAAGGCTGGTTTTAGTATATAGTTTGTTTATAGACGTATTCACATCTAAATTTAAAAATCAATGTAAAAAAATAATAGGTCAATTTCTCAAATATCGAATAAACATTTACCACTCTGGTATTAACTTTGATGTATTCATTCTAAGTTAATACGCTTGTGAGATATAGTTAGCCAAAAATAAACTGAAAATACTTTTAAAATATCTCATTGTATTTATATGTTATATAGTACACTGAATGGTATTGTGTGTAGGAAATAAATATAACAAACTGAACTCTAAAACATTTTATACTTTTTTACATTTATATTCCTGTGTTAGCTTTGTCAAAGCTTCAGATAAGTTAATTTTCACAACCTCTTGGTATAAGATTTATAGTCACTTCTGTCATAAGGCTCTAACAAGTAATCACTACAAAATATCAAGCATAAAAATTATTTTTTTTCTTTATAGAGTTCAAGGTTATTTTGTGTATAAAGTTGTTATACCTGTTACAAGTGAAACTTTTCTATACAAGATAATTATGTGAAGAATAAAATATTCTTAATAAATATGGGAAACAAAATACTAATCATGGTTCAAAACAATGATCCATGAAGGTAGTATTTACTATAAATCAATACAGGGGACAAAATAGTTTGGTGGAACAGAAACTGTTAATCAATATTTAATTTGATTGACAATTATCAAATATTGCTTTGAATTTTTTTTAACATTCATCATTTTAACATATTATGGCAACTAAATCCAACACTAAAAGTCTTAACTCTTTGTAAAAAACATTCACTAATGAAAAAAAAAGAGGTAAATGGTATGTTTTTTATTCTAATAACACATTTATTCAGTTTCAAACCCTAATATTTAATTGTACCATTCATGACATTTCATGAACAAAATAATTCCTGATATATAAAGCAAAACTTCAAAACTGCAAGAAAAACGAACACCTCAGGTGTGACAAAATAAAACAACAGCTGATTAACCAGAGAAGGAGTGACTTGACAATATTGCAACTGAACAAGTTTACCACAAATTGTTTTTCAAATTAATATAGTTTATTTCTTATTTTTGGTGAAACCTCATTACTGAAGAGGTTTTTAGTAAGTTACAATCAAAATTTAATTAAACTATGTTTTGTTTGTTCACATTATACTAATTAGTATAACATAAAATATGGGTAAATAATCAATATTTAAATAGTATATACATTTTAAGTTCTTAATTTTATAAGGAAATATTAAAAAAAGATCTGAATTTCCATTAGTGTGAGAAATGACATTTTTTCTCTACGTATCCCCTCTTCTCTAATTTATTTATCACCCCTCCAAGAAATACGAAATTTAACGTCAATTACTTATTATAATATTGTCATCACTCAGATAAAGCATAATTTTCATAGCCTTCAATTTTGTGTAGTTACAGATACATCAAATAGAAAACCAGCCCCCCCCCCCTTTTGATTTCTCTTTCAGTACAAGTTTCATTCTCACCAGAAACACATCAACTAGTATGGATTAATTTGTAATGGTTCTTGTCACATAATCAGTAAAAATTGTGATAGTTATGGGAAATTCTCTGTTTTTTGCATATTTTTATTCTATGCTCTTTGGTACATTATTTAATTAAATAAAAATTATTTAGAGCACTATTACCATTAGTATAAAAGATAAGGTTAAGTGTCAGTCGACAGCAACTAAAAAGAAGGCCCAGGTAAGTACTTTATTTCTTGTTTTTCGTGTGTATTCTTTATAAAGAATAATTTGATAATGTAATGTAGTAGTTAGACATGGTTCAAAGGGCGAGAAAACAATAAAATTTAAGTATAAATAAATGTATACTGTTGTGAGTTTAAAGCTACTTAGAATAAACAACTCTAGTTACATGTAATTTAGATTTAGTTCGACTTTCTTTGGAGATTGGGTTACGAGGTAAGTCAAAGTTACCATTCTGGTATAGAGTTAGCATGGAGAAAACAATGATAAAATTTGAAGTTTTTCTGAAAAAAAAACATTGAAGTGTATTTAGGAGGTTTTAGAGATTACGCAAATGAAATTTGAGAGTTTTGGGATGAAGAAAAGTATTTTGAATCTTAACATGAAAATCATTTCACACTCGGACTGGTCAAAATAAGACTCAATATATTCATGGACAAATCTTTGGTAAAAATACTTCAGAAAAAACTTATTTTTGTATACAATTGACTTTTTTTTCGTGAAGATACATATAATGTTTTAAAAGTTATAGTATTAAAACTATATACAAGTAGAAATGGTCACATAGTCAGTCCTTGGACATTGAGAGAGAGTTCGTAACCAGATCAATGCTAAATGTGTAGTACTATACGTACATGCTCTAGTCTAGTTGGCTAAGCTGTGGACACCAACCTGGTGCATTCCAAACATCATGAACAGACTACTACAAAGTGTATGTGTATGCAATATGCACATGACAAAGTGTGAAAATACTGTATGTGCCATTTTTGGGATTTTCTAAGAAATGAACATTAGCTTTAGCTTTGATATATAAAACTGAAACGTTAAAGCACTTTCAGTGTGTTGTTGGAGGTCTCGAAGACAACATACAAAAGAAAGGAATGATTTGCACATTATGCTAAGCAATGAGGAAAGTGATTCCCAACTGAGGTTTGATTCACAAATTGTGATACGAACCCAGATATTTTGTCTCCTGCAGTGTGAAATAATCTAATTTTAATTTTGGTCTACGTAAGGTTGTTTTTTGGTTTTTTTTTACGCAAAGCTACACCATGGACAATTTGTGCTCTGTTTACTATGGAGAATCAAACCCCAGATTTTAAGAGTGGTAAGTCTTTAAACTTACTATTGACCCACTGGGAGTGGGCAGTTAAATTATATTTTTACAATAAAAGTGAACACAAAAATGAAAGACAAGATATTTATTATTTAATAATAATAAAATAGATGTCTAAGCTTTTAATACAGTAAGATCAAAACATAAGTTTATGTTTCTGGGTAGAGGGTGGACAAAGCTTCTAAAAGAATTTATCTTAATTCTTCAAAAATTTCAATTTCACTGACCTCTGCCATTTCTTCAAAGCATGAACCAATAGCAGGACTCCTCCTTTCATCTGACATCTCCACAGCATCTTCAAATAACCCAAGCAAATTGACAGAGACATCATAAATCTCAGTGATGTTGCTGAAAATAGTGTCCAGTTCCTGAAACACAATACAGTTGGTATGAAGAATAACAATTTAACAATTAAATTTATTTTGAAGCAACAAATACTTTCAATCTACTCTCACTGACCATTTTTTGGACCTCACCCATATTCTACACAGCTTTAATTTACATGTGAAAAAACAGACTGATTGTGTACTATGTCAGGTGATTGCATCAGTTTATAAATGCAGATATTCATGTAACCGTATCAGTTAGCTTGAAAGACAATGGGTGGAAATATCTCTTCGACTTTCATACGGACATGACATGGGCACTTCTATACTTGGAGCATCATTATAAAAAACCACTTTTTTGAGTAACTATCCAAAAACATCTGTAATTAGTCTAACATTAACACCAAATATCATGAAACAAGTCTATTAGTATGAAGAACTGATGCTACCAACCAATAATGACTGAACAAATGAAGAGGCAAAAAAAAAGACTTGAAAAATGTGAAACAGACACAACAAATTATATCCATAATAACTGATTTCTTCATAAATATAACTATTTCCATGTATACCTCAGAATTAATGTTTCAAAAACTATCTTGCATTTAAACAGGAAAGCACAGCTTTATTGGTGTTTAGAATACAAACTATACACAATAGATGACTGAAAGCACGTGACACAGTCTTACATATCAGGTTTCAACCTTTTCTGTGTGGACAGTGAGGCAAAATGCTAGAATAAAACTACATGAACCACTTGATCTTGTTTTCATGCTCTGACAGTACAAGCTGTTGGATGTAATATAATGGTGTTGAGAAAGTTTCTTGTAGCATCAGTTGGGTCATTTAGTTCCTTTAGAAAGGCAAATAGTCTTCAAAGGATATCTGAACTTTGTTACCCCACAATAATGAATTATCTAACAACTCAATAACGGTTCATCCAAAAGAATAATGAAATATTTCACTGTTGTTGTATTGTCTAATAAATATTTTAAAGAGAAAATATGACTTCAGTTACCTTTCTTATACATTTAAACACCACATCTTACCCTTATTAACCTTTGGGATAGACTTGAACATCAGGTTTGCCACCATATTCCTCTGTGAACCAGTGGCAGACCATAATCCCACAAATGAACAACAACAAATCTTCCACAACCATGTGTACTTTATGCCATAATGTTGTTACTGAATCAAACAGTGGTCTAACCTGAATCTAAATGGGGGTTCTACTAAGTGGCAAATCAGTACAGTGATAGTGAAAGTTAGAGAAATTGGCAAACTTTTTTCTCAAATTCTTTATTAAATTCATCTATTAATAGAAGTTTCAGATGTTTCTGTTCACAAGTTCACAGATAAAGCAAAGTTCCTATAGATATGATATGTAGAAATGTAAGCCACCTTTTAAAAAGTATATGTTAAAGTAAATAAAATAAATACCACTCTTACTTTTTTTGTATGGACAATAGGAGTAAGGGAATCTCTAAAAACTTTGATGATCATGCTCAGGTCACGGATGTATTGTTTTTCCTCATGAATCAAGTCTTTAATCACTTCATCATGTGTTAACGATGTTCTTCTACTAGGCTCCTCTTCCATGCTTAAGGAAACATCTTCATCTTTATAAAACATGTCCATCAACACCTGAAACATTGTAATAAGTACAGTTATTAACCATGTGTAGAGTGACATACCCTATTATATATATACTAACCACCTTCAAACCAAACTAACATTACTGTTCTGCATGCAATATCAGATATTTGTCACTAAAACAATGTTGCAAGTTACCACTTTAAGTTATTGCTATATTTATAAATATGCATTACTCTATAAATATGTTAGAGGTAAAAACTGATTATGCATTTCTGAAATAAACTATGGCCACTGAAAAAAATAATCAATAATATATAACCACTTGTAATGAGCATAAAACTTGTTAATTCCAAACACGCTAGCCTACATTGCTGTCATACATATTTTTCCATGTAATCAACAGCAAGCAATAAAAAAAAAACATTTAAAATTATTGGTCACTGTTAGTTAAAAATTCTATTGGTCAAAATACATCATCTGATCTTTCTTAAGACTTTTCTGGGCACTTAAGTGAATGGTAAGTAATAACTAATTTCACTTTATTTAAATAAAGAAGGATGTGTTCATTATGTACATACATACTATACAGCAGTACACAAACTAACAACAATGACATCTCCTGTCATTGAAGAGGTTTACATCCACTCAAAGAAAATTTAAAAAACAACTATATAAACACTTTTTCATAGTACATCTAACCACTATGAAGATATAGGTTGTTTTGAAAGAGTGGGTTCAACTTGTATTTACACTGCTATGTTTGTTAACACAAATAACAAACTTCTCCGACAAAAGTCCAGAACTTTATGGATAAGAAGCATATATTATTTTATTTTTGATTTTAATCTTTGAGTTTTGTTTTTCATTTTGGATCAACTTACATCTAAGTCTATGCTTTACTAATAAACCCATCATGTTTGGGTTCCTGCAAGTATTTTTTTATATTTTTAAACATCATTAGCTCTACAAGTTATATAATACAAAATTATTAAAAATTATTGATTTAAAAATGGGAATAGGGGTCATAAAAAATACAGAAATAAGATAGCTAGCTTCGAGTGAAATATAGTTGCAAAAAAAAATAAATAAACAAACAAGCTTAAGGTTTGAGACACACGATAAATAAAAAATTTTGAACTTAAAAACCTGCAAATAGGGATAGTAACCAAGGTAAGCATACAAGGCTGGAGATACTGTTAATTAGAACTACATTAGGTGGAGTCAAAACAGGAATTTGTAGCCTGAGTAAATAACGTCTACAGTATCTCCAGCCTCGTATACTTACCTTGGTCACTATCCCTATTTGCAGGTTTTTAAATTCCCCAATTTTTTATTTATGTTGTGTCTCAAACCTTAGGTTGGTTGTTTACTTTTTTGCAACTGCATTTCCACTTAAAAATAGCTATCTTGTTTCTGTACTTTTTTTACAATCCCTATTCCCATTTTTAAATTAATAATTTTTTACAATCTTGTTTCTCTAGTTTTTTTATGTCCATCATGGACATAAATGTGTACAATAGCAAGTGTCCCATTTGAAACAGTTTAGTTTAATGAAATATGTAATTGGTGTATGATGCTCTGTTGGGAAACAATGACAACCTTTGGATTGGCTTCATACAGATTGGATGGCTATTGCTGGTACTGCATGTATGATCACTATGATGCTTGGTGATCAACATACCACATTATGTATATGCTTGTATAATGTATATAGCTACTATATTCACACCCTGCAGCTATATGGAGAGTCTGTAAACACAGAATTGGAGGGACTACTGAACTATACTGGAATTGTGCATGGACTGGATTTTGAAACTACAGGAGCTTTATACACGTATGCACATGCAATGGATATTGGCTAGTATTTATATCTATATATGTCCATGCAGGCTTTATAGCTCTTTATTAAGTTGTAAAGCCAAGTATAGATGAATGTATATGTATTCAATGTAAGTATAATAAAATGTGTCATAATATAATAGCATATGTATACAAATAAGCATTTTTAATATTACTTATAGTTGTTATAATTCCCACCTTCCTCCTCTCTGCTGGCCATATTAAGGCCGGTCAAGATTTTGGTGCAGCTTGCCAGATGTCCTCTTAGAATGACATTCTACACACACTACAAGGTCAAAACATGTACTATTTGGAAGCTAAAAAAAAACAATTTCAGAACAATTCTATTAACTAATTTAATCTCTTATCTTATCTGTTAAATAATTTCATCTCATACCTTATCTGCACACATTGCAACTTTCACATCTTGACAGGTAATTTCTGAGTGACGAATGTTTTTCACATAGTTTCCTGCCAACTGAAAAACAAACAAGAATAAATTGTAGAAAAACAAAGTTTGTACACTGTATCTATCAACTTACTAAAAAAAGTAAATTGTTGCAATGTCTCCATTTTTATTGTACTCATTTTATTACTAAGGTTTAAAATAGAGATATTTATTATAACTTTATAAACCTAAAAACATAATTATATAAATATAATTATTTTTCAACTTATTTTTCAAATTATTTGCTGAACTGACTTGGTTAAGTAGCAACTTCGCTTATGAATGAGGAAGCTCTCTTTCATTGATCTTAATTAGAATCTTAGAATAGTTGGAATGGACAACCACATCAGTCACCTACAGCATACTCTAATATGCTTGATCTATTCAGTTTACTTAAATTTGTTTGTTTATTTTCAATATGCGTTTCCAGCCTTCTCATGGTAAATTGACAAACCACTTCATACATCTTTAATGATGATGTCTTTATGTCGAAAAACAATTTTGCATATGAGATCCTAGATTAAAAATATGGCCTATGAAGGAGGGTAAGCAGCTGTTTTTTGATATACAAAGCACATTTAACCAATAAAATCAAAACTACAGACTGAATATTTAGAAAATCTATACACTGGTGATTTTACAAAGTCCTGTATGTCCATATAGTCACATGATATTCTACCTACAAAGACAACAGGAAAAACCATTCTCTATGTTTCAATGGATTTTTTAATGATAATCTGAACATTTCATGCTTGGAAAATTGCTAATATCCAGATAATTGTTTTTGTTTTTAAATGTGTAGCAGTAATCTCCCGTTGATAACATGTGAATAAAATAATACATGCTTTTATTTAAAACATATCACAATTGCTATTAGTAATAATTAAGTAATCAGTTATCCAATTTATTTATTTATGTTGTTGTTTCAATATGATAAACCTAAAAACATTACTCAATAAATAAGTATCTGAGCCATCAGAATAATTTTTACATAATACACTATACTCACTAATCCTAACCAAGCTTATGTGATGTCTTCTTCTGTAGTTTTCAAACAGATATAATTTAACATACAAACACTTTTAATGCTTGGAGACAGCTTGAATGGGTAATGAAGAAAACTTTAATACAAGTTTAACATAAAAGCAAATGTACAACGTTTCAACAAGGTTTTGTCATCATCACAGTGGGTTCCTAGTCATCGAATTTGAACACAAACACTTTCATAAATGAGAGTTGCCTCCAAAGAAACAATGTTTTTTGGCACAATGAAAGATAAAAGCTTTATTAGATATTTCTACAGACTCGATTCAGTAACACAGTTGAAAATATAAACTAGTAACTTGTTGTCTCAGTCAGTCAAAGGCTACAGACTGATGAGTAAATGATTTAAACAAAAGATTACTTCAAAATTTAACAGTTGTCTTTGAAACTTACAGGACTTTCTGGATTGACAAAATTACGGTGTAGAACCTTTAGACTTCACAAATTTTGCCAATACATTTAGTTGGTTACAATCATCATTCAGAACATTTGTATTTGATTCATTTTTAGAACATTTAAGTGCAAGTCTTTTGCCTAACTAAACCTAAACTAAAATTATGTAGATTTTACCATAATGTTTTGATTCATTCTTTGAAAGTCTCATACAGATAAATGTTAACATCTAAAAGGCTAATAACCTCTAATAACCATTGCAAAGTATCTAAATTTTACAATAATACAATACCCTATAACACAGGCACTTCCAAAATGTGGATCATTCTTTTACAGGGGTAAACAGCCCCTGAAAAAGAAGGGTCTAGCTCTCCAAATCACTTATGTTATAGATTATTGTATTTTGGGATTAAATTGATTTCTTGAACTTGCATTTTTTCTAATCTCAATTTTACAATACAAATTAACCATTGGACACTACTGTTTCAATTTCAGAAGATTTGACAAGTTTTTACAAAAATAATGATCAACAGCATTAAAATACTTATAAACTATAACTTGCTCACCCATGTATTTAGAAACTTACAGTCACAATTGTTTCAGTAACTTGAAATTGCTATATTTTAAATATCCTCTACTGATGAGTTTAGTTATGTAAAGTAATAATTAAATTTTGATTTTAAGAATCCAAACATAAGAAGAAACTCTTCTCTTAGTTTCTAATTTAGTTGTAGAACTTGGAGTGAAAATGCAGGGTTGCCAAATGCTGATATTTTTTCCCCATTCTAATTGTAACTGTTGGTTTTTCAAGTAAATTTTTGCCACCTTTTATTTTATTCAATAAATTCTTATTTGTACTTGAGAATGACTAAAGCTGGTGTAACACTTTTATTGCTCTTGAAGTCTTGTATCAAGATATAGAAGGTGAAGTTTTAACTGTAATGGATATCACTGAGCACTAATGTCAAAAAGTAATAGTTTAAACTGTATGATCATACTTTTATAGATTCTGTAACTTAAATATATCAGAGAAAATAATTGGTACAATGGTTTGCTTTCATTACTTCTATTTGAATATGTATAAAGAATTTAATGGTAAGCTTTTAAATCTGTACAATACTTATAATAGTAATTGTAGTACACAAAGCAATCACCTGAAAAGTGAATACTTAACAAAAGACTAAAAACATACAAGTTGTTAATGAGGAGCAGCAAGAAATTTGACATAAAGTACACAAGGCCATGACACACACATTTCTACAACCAGTGGCAACAACACTGGACTAGAATGGCAAAAACCTCATGTACTGTAGATTGAAGTGTTAAGCTCTAAGATGGTTATACCTGCAGGTGCAAGAAACACCATTTATGACTGAACTACATAGCATGAGTTTACTTGTAATATCAATTTGGTAATTAAGTAGAACTTTAACTTAACTCAAAGAACTTTAACTAATTATCATATATTTTAATAGTTACTTACAATTTGTGATAATAAACTGCTAATGATGATCAAGTAAAGGAAATTACCTTTTACTACTACTCAAAACTATTAAACCAAAAATATCACAGAAGCATAAGTTAAATAACATCAATATATTGGCCAATGGCAAACAGTAAGAATTATCTTGTCTTTAATCTTAACTATCAAATTTTATCTTTATTTTGATGTTATTACAACTATAGACCACAACTGTGCAATTTAAAAACATCTAAGCATGTGCACTCAATTCACCTATTTATAGTAGTTTCAAAAACATTAAGTGAAGAGAAACATCAAAAGCGTGTATGTACAGTAAATTATTCACGTGCCTACATATAATACAGCTGGAAAGAAACTACGTATGCCCACACATACTTAGACCAAAATTAATGCATGTGGTAGGTAGCACGTAAGCAATGCATGCAACGCTGTACATGGTAAGTTAACATTCTACAGGCTGTTTTACAGGAACTTATTTAGCTGCTATAACAGCGGGGACACCAGTTCTGAGAAATATCTTATTGTACAAGTGTTAACAGTCTAAGCATATTTTTTTCTCACAAAAGCTGTTTGTTCTCTCAAACAACCACTATATCTGTGTAGTAATAACATAAACATTTTTCAAAATGAAAATTCAGATGTGTTCTAAAATAGTTAAACAAAGTTAAACAATAACTTAATAAGGTTAATTTTAATCACTTTTTATATTTACAATTAAATGTTCATTCTATGATACATTGCACCATTGAAAGAGAACAACCAGCTGTAGTCACAAATTACTACAAACAACCTATTAATACCTGCAGATTAAGATTTCTCCCTGAACCAAGCACTGCTGTTTCATGATTATATCAATAAGCATCAACGTATCTTCATCCCTCTAATTAATGATCGCAAGTGTGATCTACATAGCATTCTGTGTACAATGAGACAACTCTTATACATGTAATTCATTTCACCTACATTGGGAGTTGCATTCTATTACCTTACATTCATCTATGGATTTGATTATTTTCTTTTCACTCCTTGATGAAAAGCATAAAAATATGAATATTTTTAAATAACTTATACATCAAGTTAAATCTAAGTACTTAAATGTCCAGATTCATTAATAAATTATAGCAGTTACCAAGTAATAATAATCTCAATTCACAATCTAATATTTAACTCATACAACAACTTACCTTAAGTATGTCTGCAGATATGTATTCCAAAACAGCAACAATGTACTGTGTCATCTGCATGTCTATTTTGTAGCCTAGAACCTCCTACAACACAAATATATAGTTTTAGTGTATGACTGATTACAATGTACAAAAACAATTGCTTGATACCACTTGTCTAGCACTTGAATTGCCATAAAAGAAAAAATGCTTAATATGTTTCTATAGATACTATTAATACTTTATTTGTATGTAAGAAAAATCATATAAAGAAGACTGGAGTAAAAATGTCTGTTCAAGCTGTATCACAACAGTAAAAGTCCAAGGCTATTAAAAAATCAAGAAGTTGTATATTAAAGCCAAACATGTTCTTCCCACAAGTGAGTCGAAGTAGAATTACCTTCCACTTTACTTGGCAACAAAGTACTAACACTAATTAATTCTAATATAACAAACCCTTAAATTGATACAAGTTCTCCAAAATGAACATTTATCCTTAATAAAAATTGCAAATATTTATCAATAAATGCTTTATACACTTGTCACAGATATGGTTCAACATCAATATATCATAAGTCTGAAACATATTTTAGTCTTAAACTCAGTGACAGTTTCACTGAAAGATAAATTCTGTAGCTTGATACCTTTACTAAGATAAGAAAAGAAATCTAATGACACACTGTTTATTCATAATGTCAAATTACACACTGACAAACATTTACCTTGGTTTAAAAAACATTTGCTATTTGTTATACCAAAATAAATTATAATTAATCCTCCATACAAGGTTGCATGGCTAAGTTAAATGTCTTTAAATATAAATACTGGAGATCATTTTAAAACTAATATAAATCCACAATGCTACTCTATGCTTTGGATATTCTGCTTTCACAGACATCTACTTTAAGAGGCACATTTATATACAGATGATTAAATGCACTTTGTACATGCTAGTGAAGTTGTGTTTCATTACTGCTGCAAGGGAAGCATTTTGAACTAATATATTTGGTTCACAGTAAACTATTGCCTATTTGAAAGTAGAATGCTGCCATTCAGGTTTATGGCAGAAGAGATATAAAAAATCGTTTTGAATTACCAGATCTGTGATTTGTTCTAAAGTCTTCAAAATTCACACTAACTTAATCATCATCTTGCAAAACTATAAAATACTTCTCAACACTTTATTCACTTCACATTGACATACATACTTTACAACCTGCTATATCCAATGGTATTTTGCCTGTAACCGTTTCTAAAGCCATTCTTAATTAGTCATCATTCTGATCCTTTCATGACCTTACAGCATGTGATGTGAACAGAGTTATATAATAAAACAATCATCAGACAGAAGAGGAAAATCATAAAACATTAATTTTATAAATATTATAAAATAACAAAGTATCAATTTTTGAGCAAAAAAATTGTTGAAATAGACACAATTAATATTTTTACTTAATTTTAAAATTTGATACGCAAATGTGCACTTAACGTGTGAAACATGCTCACTTGTCCCAAAAATTGCAATAAAGATGTTTATATATATATATATCATCATAGACTCACAAGCAATTTGGTTGCATACATAGTTTAAAAAAAACAGGTTTAAAAAGGTAATGTCATCCAGATTCAATTGGTAATTTTAGGGTTAAAAAGTCTGATGGCATAACTTAAGGATCATATCTTTACCAGTTTTTGTCCTAACAAACCAATGAAGTTAAGACTTGCTGTGCTCACACCCAGATTTTAAGTATTTCAGCAATAAATAAGATTACATTGATAATTAACAATTCTGCAGACTAGACTGATAAATATCATTGCATCCTTATCTCTTTCCTACTTACAATGTTTGCATTGACTCGTACAGTTAACTAATGAGAATAAAACTTTACTACAACTTAATCACAGTTAAGTAATGAAAGTTAAACTACGATAACAGTTCATGCAAATGAAACAAATTTCCATAGACTTATCCTAGTACACAATATTATACACACAGATATAAAATAACTGATATTTTGGTTAACTTTTGTCTAAATTTTGAAAAATGAAAAATTTCTAGATAAGCCCAACTCAACTCAACTCTAGCCAAAAAATGTTCGAGTATTTAAAATGTTAACCTACTTTTTGCAGTAATGGATGAATTCTTTCAACAGGCAACACAAGAGGAGACTTTTTTTTGCCTTTTTCTATGGCACTCTGAGCATCTGCAATGGCCCATTTGTCAATGGGGTGAGGAAAGGTTTTCTGCACTCTTTCCTCCACATCCTGTATTGTATGGGGTTGAGCTGCTGAAAGCATCCCCAATAAGCGAAATATAAGAGATTCAACATACTTGAGAGCACCATCCTTAGCAGTCAAAGTTGGATGGACTTGAAACTGGACCTAAAGAAGAGAGAAGTTCCCAAATTTTGTTAATAACATTTACAAAGGGTATAATTTCACATTGAACTAAAATGACTGTGTAAGGAACTACTTTCTGCACACAGTGCAGCTTCACTACTAAATAGAAGAGAAAATATTGTTAAACAATATTTAATCAGTAGATAGATGCAGAAATATATATATATATATATATATATAGGCTCAAACAATCAAGAGAATTTCTTCTAAATAAAGCTCTTATATCATCACTTTTATTTTATGGAATTTAATAAAAACATAAGGTGATAGAATATTATGAATGGCAGCTGCAAACAACATGAACTATCAATAAGTGTAACTTCCTTCTGGCTAAATCACATCTTTTTATCTTTTAGTCTATGGCAATGACAATGCTATTTATAATGCAAACACCCATTAGAATGTCATTTTAACTGACAAATTATTTTGATTACAGATGTCCATGTAAAACTGATTATTCGTTGATCAACTATGTTTTATGTTACAATAAAAGTACAGTTAAAAATGATAAAAGAGCTATTTGAAGATGCCCATGGTCAGACCATTGATTTAATTAGAAATAAACATACTGGTTCTATACTTCCCAACTGCAAATTTCTAAAGAAGCACTGATAAGAATATGACAAAGATGAATAGACATAAATGGTAAAAATCCCAAAGAAGACTGATTATTAAAGAGTATTACTATTTTACTATTTTGTAATTGGAAGTTTGAAGCAAAAAAATACTATACAGCAGTATTAAAACTGGAATTTTACAAGATAGCTTTCACTGCAAACATGTAAGAGTCAGGAAAGTAATTAGGTAAGGGTTTCTGTAAAAAAAGTGAACTAAATATGTTGCAGATTATAAAAATACAATCAAAGCCACAAAAAAACTAACTAGTTGTTCCTTCTCAAATCAGTTATAGAAAGATTGTTATTTATAATAAATACTGACTGGTGATAACATAAAATGTCATACATGGAACAAATAGCAATTAGCAAGTAATAATACCTTTTCAAAAACTTTTAGATTTAATAATAAATCAATAATTTAATAACATGTATTCTACATGTATATTTCCCAAACAAGTAAACTTAAGGTGTTATAATATTTTAACAAAACATTCATGAGGATAGTTCAGTATTCGAGTTTATAAAGAATACTTAAAATTGCATTATTAATATTTTAGTATTTTTAGCAAACTTGTTCTATTTTTCCACAAACTAAAAAATATAATGCACATATATGTGTATTTTCTCATGTTCTATACACGTGTGTGTGTGTGTAAGCAACAAAAAGCACATTAAAGTAACTTATTGACTTACACAAAAAAAGTATAACAACTGTGGCTACTTAGCTTGTACTTAACTTTGATAAAAATGTTTTATGATAATATAAAAGGTTTGTTTATAACTACCCAAAGCATATTAAGATCATGCCCTATAATGTACAGAGAACAACCAACATTTTACTGTACATGTAATAACATAAAATGGTACACTGTTGTGACAATAATTCTAATTTTTTAAAGCATAACTAAGAAGAAACTATGCAACAGATACTATGTAGTCAACAATCAGTTGTGCGAGTTCATACCAACAAAGATAATTTATGTATAATTCTATTATTTAATAAGTGTAACTCTTTAACTACTTTTGAATTTTTGCTCCACTCACTAGATGGTACCAACATTCAGTCAATCAACAGTTAATATCTGAAAAGATTCTAGTTCATTTTTGAGTTCAAACCTATACATACAAGAATAGTTTTGCAGCTCCAAAAATATTGCTATGTATTTGTGCTTTTAAATATAAAAGAGAGAGATTTTCTGTGAGTTGCTTTCTGAATTAAATGACTTAATTCTTTGGCAGTTGTCTGAGTGCACACAACTGCCTAAGTTCAAAATTGCATCTTAAAATTTAAAAAAATTCTAAAAAATAAATTTGTAGCCATTCTTCCATTTTTAAAAATAGTTTGAATATGAAATTTATTCAATAAAAAAGTTTTTACTTATTATTGTAGATTAAAATTCAAAAATATCATGAATTTTGATTCTGAGTTGAATTTGGTGCACTTTGAAGAAAACTGTCAACATTCCTGAATTTTCCAAAATTTCTGAGCATACTACAGCAGCCATAGCCCCCTAGGAAGACAAATGAAAGTTTTAAATAAAACTGTCCAAATTTGATCCTTGTAACTTCAATACAAGGATAGTTTTTTATCAGTTTTAGCCAATCACTATTTCCCAACCTCTGTTGTCATGGTATGATGTAATTGCTGATATCTCATTAGTTTGCTTGATAAAGTTTTCACTTATTGCCCATCTCAGGCACGATGAGTTGATCATAGTTTGAGATGCAGTGATGTTGCTAGTTGATTGTTCAACTTAGGTTGTAGCTCAAGATTCTAATTGAGATAAAGAAGACAAACATCCAAATGACAGAATACAAAACCTAGCTGATAAAAGCAGGTTTACCAAGTTAACAAGTTAAAAGACCAGACAAACCCAAAGGGAAGAACAGAAAAATTAAAAATTCAATTTACATAAAAATTAAACAGAGATACCTCCAACATTCTGGATCAGTTGGCACAAGTAGGAATGTATCCATTACATCCAATCAGGATATCCAGTTGTTACTTGGAGGCAATGCAACATGAGATAAATAAATTTCATCTTCAAGCACATCATTGAATGATAAAAATTCACAAAAGACTAATCATTAATTGGACTTTAACACCCAGCTTGTTCCAGAAAAATGTAAAAAGGATAAAACTAAGGGTCCTGACACCATACCTTCTTAACAGCCTGCTTAGAAAGGAGAGAAAGAAAACCCCTCAGTCAAAAAAAATGTGCTCACAGCATATCTTCAGAGAGTAGAAAGAGGTACAGAAAACACAAAGGGAGAATTTCACTGAAAAACAAGAGGTCGATCTGGAATGCAAATGACCCAAGGATCATAAGAAAACTACCATGTTAAACAAAGCCTGCTAGTTTCTATAATTAATTTGAAGACATAGTGTATGACAGATCTAGTTGGTCTTATAAAAAAAGAGAAGCAATGACCTGATAATAAAGTTAATCAAGGCTGATGAGACAAATTTTGAGAATCAAGCCATATCAAGCAATCAGTCTCTTGGAAGGTCAACTCCCACCATGAAATGTAACAAAGTATTGTAAAAAGTGAGAGAATATATAAGCAAGTGTCAGGATAGAGGAGTACTGTTGGGAAAAATTTCTCTGGTTTTTAAACCCTCTGGAACATGTGCAAAGACATTCAAGGAAAGAAAGATGTTCGATGCAATTCCTGGATGAAGGAGCATGGTACAGAAGTGCACGATTGGTGGGTCAAAGTAAGCACGTCACAACTTTCACAGAGCACCACTCAATACTCTGCTGTTGTGCAACAGTTCATGGTAGAGGAGAATGAATATCAGATACAATATACAGGGATACTGAAAAAACTGCAGATATGTATTTTAGAGGTTCTAGAGGTTGTTGCAAATGCAACTTGCAAACTGAACAATGGAGAAAAGTATTTTTATTCTTCATATGAACATCACCTTGCACTCTGATGTATCTTGAGTACAAATGTTTTTGTAACAAATCTGATTTTTTGTGTACAATGTGTTTGTACATTTTACTAATAGCTTGCCACATTTCATAAAGATACATATATTAAATTCAGAATTATACTCAACATTCCTTCTCCAATATGGTGTTATTCCATTAAAGTTAACATTTTCCTTACATGAAAATGTATTTCTGATAGATACTTACCTCTCTGCACACAGTAGCTATTCCTCGCACATTTGTCTTCAAGATTTTGAGCATGCAACTAGCCTTGAACTATCTCACACCTAATTCACATTTTTTTGGCATAAACTGCGCTAATACATGATGTAATCATTATGCAGCAATAGCCCTCCACCAATAGGAGGACAATATATCCTCCCTGCAGTGTGGCTACAACAATAATCAGACAGTATGGTTTAATATGTACTCTGCTGTACAATTATAATTTACTCACCATATACAGAAAGAGGGGCTAAGATCCCATCCTGCCTCCAAAGGAGAACACTTTGTTCTATTTGGCTGATCAATAACCACCATCAGGAAATTAGCATACAATACAATAGGTTACCTGCATAACACTGACAAGGACACCACTGATCTACTTCCTACCACATTCTGCTGCTCATTCAGACTCTTTCTGGAAAGATTGCACAATGAATGAGGAACTATCCAACTTGAAAACCCCAGTGGCTATGAACTAGGAATGGCAAAGGTCGCCTGTGTTCCACTTGAAGACCAGGGAAGGATTCATGCTGGGGAGATTCTGGAGAGGTGACCAGACCCAGTCAGTCTAAACCACTGCAAAGATCTTTTACTGCAGAAAGTGTAATGGGTAACCATGAAACAAATTTTGAAAAGCCATTATGCACAAGCCAATGACATGAGCAGGCACTCATCCAGTCTGACTTTTTCCATGATAGCCCATGAAAAGTCTAGTCTGGAATCGACATTGATATAAAAATATACCACATTAAAATAGTTCACAAGGCACACACACGAGCAGCTCGTGGATAATGTACTTCGATAGTGTAACGTGAGCTGTATGTTCCCCGAGTGATTTACAACTTATAATGCCATTGATAGTAGTTAAAGGGCAATAAAATTTAATTATAAATAGCTGTACGCTGTTACGAAGTTAGAGCTGCTTAGGATAAATGAATGTAGTTTCATGTTACAATTTGAAGTCATTCTATAAAGAAAAAAAGAGTAATCTAGGTTTGATTAAATTTTGTTTTGGCGGTTATGAGGTTGGTTGAATTGACTGAACCCATTTTAAGATAGGGTAGAGAAAATGACAGATAAACTCTAAAGTTTTACTGAAAAAAAAACGTTTAAATGCATTTAGGAGGTTTTAGGGATTACACAAAGGAAATTTGAGATTTTTGAACATAACTAAAAGAATCAGAACACAAATAGTTTATAACTGTGTGGAAGAAGAAAGTTTCAAAAGAAGACGAATAATAACATGCAGAGCAGAAAAACAATATTGGGCCAAAGTAAAAGACCACGTGGACTCCACTCACATAAGCAATCTGAGGGTCAAGAACTTAATATGTAATATCAGTAGTTGAAGATGACTCTGCTAAATAAAAAAAATATAAAAAAAAGACTATCCACATGATGAATTAAAAAATATGAAGGCTATTAATGTTTTGCTAGTTTCTAACAGCATCAGAAATATCTCAACTACACAAATACAGAAAAAGTAAAGATTCAAGTACAGAACCATCTCACCTGAAACTAGCACTCAAGATTTAAAATAGAACACACTGAGTGAAGATAAATATGACCAATAGAATCTTCTTTAGGATTAGGGATAGCAGACAAAGACAAATAGGCCTTAGGAAATTATTTATCTTGTTCAAAATCATGAAAAAATTGCAAGTGTTCTACTACTTGTGTAACCAAGTGACTGAAAACCTGTATACGGTCTCCAAAGAAGTTGTAAAAAGTTCTATTATTATTGGAGGTATAAGCATCAAAATTAAACACTGAATTTTGGATTCATTGTAGAAACGTTAACAGCATGACTCTCAACAAAAATTTTTTTATTATAATGGGAAAGCAGAGACTATGTGCATCATTCTAACACAAGCACCAGTAACTTGAAAGGGGGGAGGGGAGAATGGTGAACTATGAGTAAGTTGCCACATACTCTGTAGTGTGTCCAGGACATTCAGAACTTTAGTCACATGTTTGTTGAAAACATAAAAGAGTAACTAACAGTAAATGTTTTTCATGTTTTTGAGGTAAATCTGCCAATTTCAAATGATAATACATTTATCAATTTTCAAACACAACTGTATGAAACTTCAATACATCCTTCAAGAGTACTTGAATAAATAATACGACCCACAACAAAAAATAATAATAATTTCTCTACAGATAAGTCATACATTTATTCCTAAAGTTCAGTCCTAGTATAAAAGAGTACAAACAAAATTCCCATGTACAGATTACTTGGTAGTTTTTAATTAATTAGATAATTTAACCATAGTATTAATTAATATCAAAATCTACTGCAGTAATGATATTTTAAGCCCTAATTGGGAAAATTGCTTCAAGTTCAATTCACTTACAAAATTATCACACAATGTCATTACTATTCAAGAACTTGTAAATACTTTTAAGGATTGGTTTAATACATAGCTCAGCTCAATTTTACTTAATACACATAATAAGAATGAAAAATACTTAATGTTTATACATTTATACGGACTTTTATAATCAAACTTAATTATTTATTATTATAAAGTACTGAAAGAGGAGTATTCTAACCTTCTGCAAGGCACTTGTAAGTAATCCTTTCCATTTCAATGCACTTTCTTCATTTTCAAAATCATAAATGGGTTCCGAATCTCGACTGGCTGCAGCAAACATTCTTCAAAGTGGATAAAAAAAAAGGACTGTTCTAACAACACTCTTTATGGATCTGCCATAATCTTAAGAGTAGCAGGATCATTCAGCAGAGTAACCTTTTGTTTTGACTTTCTTGTAATTATAAAAGGTAAAAACTGCACTTAATAAAGATGTTTTCTTTCTCTCATGTAGGAAACAAAACTAAGCCTGTTTTTATTTTATCTGAAGTACTTCCATGTAGAATGTGTTGATGAAGGTATAAGTGATGGTACCTAAAAACAAACATACAAAGATTTGTTTAGAAGTTTAGAACAGAATTCTAAATTATCAAACACAGAACATTTTATGAGCACCCCATACAGATTTTTTTCAAATGAATACAGCTGTTAATTGGATTCACAATGTAATTATGTAACATAATTAAATGAAAAATACATATAACTGGTACAAGTTAAAAATACAAGGTAAAAGTATGTTCAGTTTCTGTATACCAAGACTTGCTACATATTATTCCTTACTAAACAAAGGATAGTTAAGGTATATGTAATTTATGTAGATAACAGTGACACCTATTTCAAAGAAAATTCATATTTCTATATTCTAAAAAGAAATGAAGCTAATACATGAACAAAAAAAATTAAAGTCACACAATTAAATACAAACATGTTTTCCAATACAAACAACAAACTATGAGACATTAATGGTTGTTTTAAAAGTTTCATTCTCCACTTATGTTAACTATCAAAATTTTTTATACACTCATTAAAATGCAAACATTTCTGTTCGAGATTTTTGTTGTCTCAAGACATATGGATCCTAATTGATTTCTGCCAATTTTAACAATATTTGTCAAAATTGCATAATAATCTTTATTATGGATTAAACTTCATAAAGTTTAGGATTTTTTTTTATTTTTTAGTACCATTTAAAGTGTTAGTTCTCTGGAGTTCTTTTCAAACTTCTTACTGAATGTTTAATAGATCAATTTCAAAAGTATTACTAGTAATACATAATTTCAATGTTACACTGTTAATGCTACAATGCTGTCTTCAGTTTGGCTAGTACTCAAGGTCACAGCTGATAAATTTCACTCTTCATTTGCAATTCATACTGTTGTTTTTTTCTGTTGCCATTATTCAGATTCTCATTACAGAAAAGGTGAAAATTGTAGCTCACAAATAACAAGTTTAGCTCTCCAGTTCAGATTTTTGTATATATTGTTTTACAGGTCAAATCCTTCCTCATTCAAATGGCATTGTTAGCACATATTTAGTTACAAAATGTACACCTGCCAATCATTCTGAAATTGACTTACTCTCTCTGAAATAGGGCCAGATCCTACTAAATTACTTGGGCATTACTGCATTTTTTCAGACTATTTAATTGGCATTGCAAGTTAACAGTTAAAGGTTCTTTAAACCAACTTCGTTTGGGACAAGTTGATGCTCAATGAATAGATCTGTAAACAACCTATAAATTTCTACATTGAAAGAGAAATAACTATACTATCTCAGGAACTTGTTGACCGATCAACCTTATTTCTAGAATATTATGACCAATCCTTACAATTGGGGATACAACCACCTATTTTCTAAACTTTTTTTGGAAATACTCCTTTCTATGTAACCGATCACTTCACAGTTAACACATTACAATCCTTAAATTTAAAGCTTCAAAAATTTAAGAAACGCATGAAATAATACAGAAATTTATTACACAGAAAATAGCTATAAACTACTATAACTTTGCAATGATTTCAGTTACATAACACACATGCATAAGACATGAAGCAAATTCTAAAACCCATTTTCAAGAATCTAGGATTAGGCCTAAATTAAAACAAAAATAGGACTCCATAAGACTTCTCTAAAGTAGAGCATCTATTAAAAATTATCAGCCAAGTAGCCTATTGGATGTCGCACATTTCACACTTTTGACCCTGTTAACTAATAAATAACAAAAAATGAAACTGTAATAGGAAACTGCAAGAAAACATGCAGTAACATTCATCCAATAACAAATTATTTTTAACTGAAGAATCTAGAGAAAGTTATTTTCTGTATCTTATAGTTTAACCTAGTCTATACATATATCAACCACAACTAAGACTGATCTGTTACATAAAATGCCGAAAAATTATTTAACAAGTCATAGAAAAATATAAACTTCTACAGGAAAATATTCAAATCATGTTTTTCTATATGATGTCTGTCAAGATGATTTCTACTTCTGAAAAACCAATACCAGAAAGAAAGTCAATGTACATGGCTTTTCCTCTAAATAATAAAATCAGAGCTAAATAAACTATAGTGAAGTGAAATTTTTAACAGAAAAATGAAACAATTTTATCTTTACAGTAGCAGTCCCTACCTTAAATGGACTAACATGTGTAGATAAGAACACGAACAAGACTTTGAACTTTGAAGCCTCTGGTTCAGTGTTTAGCCAAAGAAATAGTTCCTTGTATTTATTAATAGAAAGTAGGTTAACAAGTATTCAAGTAAATATTGCCTTGGCCTTCATTATTTACAATATTGTGTTTATTTCTGACTACCTTGAAAGTCAAACTTTCATGACTAAATTATACTGAAGTCTGTAGAACCAATCATTCACAAAATAATACTAAACTGCTCAAATAGCTATAGTCTCCTCACATTAAGTGATAAATATAAACACATTAAAAAAGGTTTCTTCTTCTATTTTATATAGGAAGTACTTGAAGACTGTTGCTAAAATTGTGACCAAAAACTTAAGTGAAATCAAATCAACACAGGTAATAAAACAGTTCCTTTCATATGTTAATATCAATACATATGAGCAGCTTTTTCAAACTCACAGAACCTGTAAGTATCAACATCAATAATATTTTTAATTTCAAGTTTCTATTTAAAAATTGTTAATTCAATTACTGGAACAAACTTATCATGATATTGCTTTGGGAGATTATCATATACTTAAACAATAGTGTCTGTCTGTGTGAAACGTAGCTTAAATATCTTTACAAACTAATAAATGGCACCACAATACCTGTGGTAAGTTTGTTTTTAATTTATTAAAAAAATCCATAGCCATTTTTTATGAAATGTTATGCCTTTACGAACTTGCCCTTTACTTTGCTTTCTATTCTATGTACCATAATTATGTAACATACATAAGACCAGTGTGCATTTTGAGCACATCATGTTAAAAATCTAGTGGTATGTGCACATTTTACTTGGCTTTTTTTTAAAAGCTGAGAATCATCAATTTTCTTCATTCTTGCTGTTATTTTTCAGGAGCTTTCTTTCAACGTTTCATTCACTGATTTAGATGTAGGCAGTAACATCATTTTCAAACATGATGGTAACAACATCCACAAAAATTGCTGTTCTGTGAGAAATATTCCTTTCAGCCAAAAGTATGAGAACACTTACAGTAATGGGCAAGTAAGAATAAGGAAGTGTAAAGTCATCAATTCAGACATGAAAATTTGGTAAAAGGCCTTGTCAGTGAGGAAAACTGATGTTGTGGGGAAAAAAATGGTAATTAGGTACAAATATTGCAGACTGCATAAAAACTGTCAACAAATGTCATGGTGAAAAAAGAGCTGATAGAGTTCTAGATTTATACAAATTTTAAATGTACAGGTGTAAAGTTTATTGTAATTTTGTACAAGACACTGATGAGTGACGAGGGCTTGCAGTTATGGTCTTCTCAATACATGTACATTAGCTTGCTGGAAAGTTTTCAAAAAAGAGCTACTAGAATGATTCAATTTGCCAATAATTTAAAACATGTTAATATTTCCCATAGCATTAATTTATACTTTTAAGCATCCCTGTGATTGTATGAAAACTATTGTTTTAAATGTTTCAAATGTATTTTAAACATAACTGAATATTTGTAGTTGAACATTTTTTCAAAATCATTATATTGCAGTTTATTATATAAATGTTAATAATTAAACTTGCTATTTAATGCCTTTCAAATATAAAACAAATTAAATGCTGTATTGAGTTATTTCACTTTATGACACATCTTACTTCAATTTTTTATGTGAATATGATAACTCAAAGTAATAACTTGATTTTCTATTAATATAAACTGAATAATAAACTTAGCACAGCCCAACAAATTTTTAACTGAAAATAAACACAAATAGCATTAAATTTTAACTTTGATATGAATTATGAATTAATAAACTGTATTTGAAATAATAAAATTTAACCTTATCTATTTGTAGTTCACAGCACAGTCATTCATCTACTTCTTACTATTAGTCCCATTCTAAACAATCTCTTTAGTTCGTATTCAAATCTTCTCAGGCTTCTCTTTCACTTCTGTTAATTTGGCAGTCTCATCAGAAAATTCTGAATCTGCAGAATATTCAGACAAGCTTTAAAGTCAATCAATTTAAGTGGAACATGACTGTTCATATGCTGGACCTCCATTCTGTTTCCTCTTATCCACTGCTTGCTATATGCATTAGCATTATAATCCTTACTGAAAGAAGTTTGTTGCACATTTTATAGCATACAAACTTGTATACACTGAAGAATCACTGGATCACTGCACAATATTCAGGGAAAATGAAGAAAGCAACAGTTACTTTGTTCAATGAAGATAATGCCATCTATACTATTCTACCATGTCAAAGTGGACAAGATTTCTCACTCTTGAGTTATGACTCTTATCTTTTATCATTGTCCCAACTTATTCTGGCTCACAGGCTTTCATACTGAGCCAAGTCAAACAGTACTTCACTCCAACAACAAGAGAAGCTTTCTGAAAACTTCATAACTGGAACACTCTACTCACATAATCTTTCAGAAGGAAACTCTTTCCCCATGTATTCACAATCCATGTAAATTGACTCAATCATGAATTCCTTACATTTTCTGACAGCACCAAAGGTTTGCTTCTTGTCATAGGTGATGACTGGATAAGAACATGTAAGCAACTTATTGCTTCTAAAGGTCACTGAAAACATGTTAGAAAAACAAATTCTTTTTAAAGACTCATTTTTAGGATATTTGATTCAAATATGTTCATGCACGTGTGTTTTAATGTCAAGTTCTAAAAACTTGACCATTTTTCTTAACTCTAACCAAGATGTAGCTGACCATGATTTATGCCTTCATACTAGAAAACTGATAAGTAAACTTTGGACTAGATTCAACAGCCCGGAACCTCAGTGTGTTTTCAGTGAAAGTTTTAAAGAAGCTTTTGATCCTCCTCCTTCTGGATGTTAGTGATGAATGTTACAAGAAGTTGAAACCTTGAATATGCTTTA